CAAAGCAGCAGCAGCAGCAGCAGCAGCAGCAGCAGCAAGAGGGCTGTGGCCCCACTGAGAAAGATGGCGCTGATTTGCCTTTCGCGATTGCTGGCTGAGGAATTCGTTCGCTGCAAAGGCGAGGCTGTTTTGGGGTAAGACACAAACAGCAGCAGCAGCAGCAGCAGCAGCTGTTGCTGCTGCTATTGCTGCTGGAGCGATGCAGCAGCAGCAACGGCTGCAGCAGTGAGAGTGCAATAAGCATAAGCAGCAGCAGCTGTACATCTGTAAACGAAAAAAGCAGACTCCAAAGAACACAGGAGAAGCAGCTGCAGCAAAAGAAACAGGGCAGGAACAGAGGCCGCAGCAACACTTGTTTGCTGCTGTTGCTGCTGCTGGTGTTGCTGCTGCTGTTGCCTCTGCTGCTACTGCTGCCGCTGGCGCCACTGCTGCCGCTGGTGTCCGTGCTGCTGCCGTCGCCTCTGCTGGTACTGCTGCTGCTGTTCTGCTGCTGATGCTCTCACTGCTGCTGCTGCTGCTGATGCTGTCGCTGCTGCTGCTGCTGCTGCTGCAGTCTATTTTTTTGTTTGGGGGACGAGGACTTGGCTGTGCGGCGTTTGGCTGAGTCGGTTTACTTAGGACTTGTGCTGCCGCGCCACGTGAGGCCTTTTGCTGCTAAGTTGCATTAAAATTAATTAATTAATTAATCGATTAATTAATTAATTAATTAATTAATTAATTAATTAATTAGGAAAGGCTGGGGAAAGAAGAAGCCACAAGAGAGGCAGCGAGCAGCAGAAGCAGCAGCGCGTTTTGCGGCCAGCCGTGCCCTGAGGCCCACCAGCCTCTGCTGCTTCTGCTGCTGCTGCTGCTGCTGCTACTGCAGGAGTCGGCGCTGCCGTCTCTGTTTGTGGAGGTCCTTTGTGCTGTCAACGGGGCCTTCAAACATCCAGCCTTTAGGGGCCGCGTGGGTGCCTCACAGCTGCGGTTTCCCTGGAGCCAAAGGCGCAAACAGGTCAGCAGCAGCAGCAGCAGCAGCAGCAGCAGCAGCGGCAGCGGCGGGGGCAGGGCTGTCGCTGCTGCGGAAGTAA